ATGTAGTATACATATACATGTACTAGAGCCACTGTAGCCAGGCGAGAAGCAGAAAGGCTAGGATTTAGATAAGAAGCGTGGATGTAGGACTCGAATAGAATGAGGTGTGTATCATCAGAGCTGCTGCTGTTGCACGCACACACGCATGCACACATGCATGCATGCATGCATGCATGCATGCATGCATGGAAGCGGGTGCTAAGAGGAGGAGGAGGGCGCGATGAAGAGAAAGGAGCGGATGTATTCACCGCTAGACTCGGAGACGACGCCGTGGGCTTCGCTGCCAGAGAAGCGCTGGCGGCCCTTCGATGCAACAATTTCAACTTCTCCTCCATCGTCTTTCTGCAGTCAGCATACGCAGCAATACAGGGTAGAAATATATATAAAAATATTAAAATATATGTATAATATATAATATATATATCATATATATGTGTATAGAAATATATATAAAAGTACTAAAATATATGTATAATATATAATATATATATCATATATATGTGTATATAATATTTACTTCAGATACACTGCACACAAAAATAAACATTTCAACTCTCACCAGAGCGGCAGCGTGTATAGCGGCGCGACAGACAGAGGACAGCGGGCTGTAGAAGCCTGTTGAAGATGCATATAAAAGAAATGATNGTACACCCCGCCGGGCAGACGACGAGCTCCCGCTCCCCCACCCCCAACTTGAGAGTGAATATTGCATTTGTATCGCAGGATAAAGCTCGGAAGAGAGGAGCGGCTTCAACAGAGAAAGACCGCAGCTCGGGTGCTGTGCTGTGTGTGCTGTGGATGCCTGGAGAAGCAGCAGAGTGGCAGTGAACAGGTTGCATGCATCACTCAACAAGAGTATAATATAAAATAAATATAAATATATTCCGCACCGAAATGGCCCTGAGAAGCGTCGTAAGAAGTCAAACCTTCACTCACTGTCAGCAGCACCTCCCCCCCCTCCTTTGGCACTGCGCCTGCATGCAGCGCGGCCTTACATATTGAGCTCCGAGCTGAGTAAACTCTGCAGCCTTCTAGCCGCGCCTTTGCATGCAAGCAGTCGGGGGGGCAGTGAGCCAGGAACTTCTGGCCGATGCTGCCGTCGAACTCCGCGCGCCGCAGACAGTTGCTGCATGAGAGATGCACTGCGGGTTTCGTCGGTCTCGCTGCAGCAGCAGCTGCTGCTGCTGCTGCTGCTGCCCACATAGGTCCCTGCATAGAACAAGGAGAAAGACAGAGACGTCCATCTTCTGTGCGCCTGGTTTCACTCGGCGCCTGGGGAAGATGAGCTGCCAGCGTTTCCGGTGTAAATGCATTTTTTATTGTCGTTATTGGTGTTTCCTCGTTATACAATTTAACCCCTAAAATATCGCCTTCAAAGTAGTCTGCTTCTGCTGCACTCGCTCTACCGATGATCATCCTGCCCTGCATGCACGAGTTGTTGATATATGCAAAGCTGAATTTTCAGGTGTATATACACCTCACTCTCAAGTTAATGTCGACATCCGTTTTCTCCGAGGCCACTGGCTGTCCATTTACAAAGAGTTGTATCAGGCGAGTGGCGGTGGAGAAGGAGGCGGCAGTATCGAATCTTTCTGTGTGTGTTTGCATGCGAGCGCATGCAGTGATTTGTTTGTATGGGCTCTGGTGTTCAGCTTACCCCCCAGCTTGGGCTTGAAACCCGACTTGAGTTGGTGCGGCCGGCACGTCAACTCAAACAACAACTCATCGTTCGGGTCCAGCGCCAGAGAAAAACCATCGCAGTCGCTGTGGGCTACCAGTGTACGCCACTGGCCCTCCCCTCCTGTGTACAGACAGATAGATACATAGACAGACGAGCACACACACACACACACACACACACACACACACACACACACACACACACACACACACACACACACACACACACGCAGGCCTGCCAGCTAACTAAGCATATCTAGTTTGCTGCTCCTGCTGCTGCTGCTGCTGCTGCTTCTGCTGCTGCTGCTGCTGCATGCCGCACCTGTGACAACGGCGCGGACGATGACAGTGAAATCCCTCAAAGAGGAGATGAGATTTCCCCCAGCCAAAGTGGAGGCATCCACAAAGTCCGATGGACTTCTATGAAACCCTGCAGCGTAGAAAATGCAATATTATATTCTTTTTGGTATTGTTGTTGTTTTTTTGTTTTTTATTAATTATTATTACCCCAATGTTTACTATTATTATTATCTTTACTATCGTTGTTATTATTTTTA